CGACTTATCACGAGAAAAGCCCATGCCAGGGGTTAATTCTCCTGTCCATGAGGACAGAGGTTGGGAAGTCAGCTGCTGTTATTCCGTGGTCTTAATATAGAACAAAAGAGTAGTATTTTGTCCCAGATTTAACAGCTGGGGAAATAAAACTCCTTTGGATGGCAGGAGGTGCTGTCACGTACAAAAGGACAGTTCAGGATATCTGCCTGTTTTACAGTCGTGGAAATGCATTTAAATCACAGCTACAGTGCACTCAAATGGGAATGTAGAGCCTGAGTGAATTATTGATTGTTTTTCACATTTGATAAGGAAGTCAGGAGAGAAATGATGTCCAATATACAGAAATAGAGTAGAAGCCTCCCGTGGGTTGTAACAGAAGAGCAAGCATGTGAAGGTCTCAAAATAGCCACAGCTTTCACTTCTGGAGGTACAAAAGGCCATGAATCAGTGAAATACTTCAGGTGGGGATCCAGGGGGTGGGTCTGGTCTGTGCCCCACGGATTTTTTCCCTGTTTTCTCTCAGTGTATGTGTTAAGTGCCCATAAGCCCCCTTCCTTCATCTCCTTGGGCAAGCGTGGGAAGAAAATGTTCCAATTTAACACCAAAATCTCAGACACCATTTAAAGGTTGAGGTATTCTCCGATCCACCCTTCCCCAGTCTCCGGGGAGACCGTTCCCATGCCATTCTGCATTTATATATCCCTGCAGGGATAATTTCCCTGATCCAAGGGGCTGCTCGGAGGATTTGCTGTAAAAGCTTTTTTTAAACCACGGAGAGTGGTTTCAACTCTTCAGCGGTGGCTTTGTGGGAGCGTGACTGAATTGTTTCCAGCCCTGAGCTCCTCACCTGTCTGGGTCGTGCGTGCGGCTGACAGACAGATGGACGGACAGCCCGTGCTCTGTGTGAGAATGCAAACAGCTGAGCCAAGGCTTAATCCTCCCCCCAGCCCTGACCTTTTTATTCATGCCTGCACCTGGCAGGAGCAGCAATCATTCATGGCTGTGGCCTCGGAAACAGCTGTAGATAAACACTGGAGTTAAATTTAAAAAGGGTGCTGCGGGCGTGGGGGGGGGGAGGTAAATGAACAAAATCACTTGCTAGCCCATCACAGACCAATTTTAAAGAGAAAAGAGGTTTAGGCTTGCAGTGAGCATGGCAGGTCTCTTGTGCTGAATGCAATGATGGTTGTGCAGAAACATTTGCAGAACTGGGGCACAGAGACCTGAGAGTGTGACTGACTGAGGGTGGGTCAGGGCTGTGGCCATGTGCACACGCAGCTCCAGCACCCTGGGACCAGCTGGCTCGGGAATGGGAATGGGTTCAGGCTTCAGCAGGAGCTGTGCAGGGCTGCCTGGCCAAAAGCAAGAGGACAGACAGTTGCTGTGGCAGTTCTCTCATCCTCTGTGCCGGGGGATGTGGCTGAGGAGCCTCTGCAGGGGCTGTGTCGTGCCCGGCGCTGCGGCTGAGTCGTGCCCTCAGCACAGATTGAGCTGCAAATCCTTTCCTAGCGCAGGAATAGCTGTGTTTTATCCCAGCAGAGCAATTCCCAACCTGGATCTGACCGTACACTGTCCCTGGCCCCCTACAGAACAAACCAGGCTAAACCAGAAGAGCAGATTGATGCCAGGGCTGCGTTTCCTGCAGCCTCTTTTAGCAGGAACCTGTGAGTGCACTCAGGAGGAACCTGGCTGCCCTGGCAGAAGGCTGCACTGTAGAAATTGCTGTTTTTCCGTGGAAAAACATTCTATTTTACACACCAGGAAAATCTATTCATTATATAAGAGAAAGGCTATGCCATCTGATTCTGTCTTCAAAAAGAAGCAATTTTCAAGAAGCGGAGCAAAATTTGAAATGAAACTTGTCAATTTGTAAATGTTTGGGAGCAAAGGCACTGTAAGACAGCAGATGGAGCTGTGAAAGGGGGTTTGGTTCTTTTCTGTCTACCACCTCCTTTCTCCAGCACTCTTCCTCTGTTTTAAGAATAACACTCCCTCAATAATGACTCACAGCCAGTGCCACAAAAATCCTGGCTGTCAGAGAAACTGCTGCTTGTCTGACAGGAGTGCAGAGAACGTTGGTTTGTTCTGTCTCTGCTGAAATCACAGCTCGGGGATGGTTCTTCTAGAAAGTGGCCCTACTTAGAGATTCCAGGCACAAGGCAATTATCTGTCTTCCCTTGCTCAGTGTAATTAATAGATGTGGTTTTCTTCCTGGGCACCAAGGGATGCCATGTTCGTCATGGAATGGACCATGTTGTCCAGAGCAAGGAGAGGAAAATTCCCTAGGAAGTCAGATCTCTCCTCTGGGAAGATGGATAAACCCATGGGCGTACCAGTAGGGACTGGAATATTCCCCATATCCTGCTAGATCTCTGCTAATCAGAAAAGAAAAGATATCCTCTGCTCAGAAGGGAATAAAGACATCCTCAGGGATAATCCGGGAGAAGCAGCTGGCAGAGCTACAGCCCTCTATCACCCCATGGAATTTGCAGTTCTGTTGGAAGCAGAACCTTAGGAAAAGAGCAATTTCAGATTTCCTGGCTGCCTGGGGATGATGGTGCTGCCCTGTGTGATGGAGTTACTGCCAGAGCAGCTGCACGGGTAGAAACACCTTTTTCCAGTTATTGGAGCAGGGAATTGTGCTGGGATTCCTGGGTCCTTCCCCCAGCTCTGCCTTTGATTTGTGGTGTGTGCAGACTCCTTAATTTGTTTCTGTTCTCCCCATCTGTGAAACTGAGATAAGATCACAGGGGAATTGTAAAGTGGGATTCATTAATGTTTATTAGGCAGAGGGAGATCCTTCAATGAATGGCACTGTATTCCGGGAGGACAAAGTTCAAGATTGCAAAGAGGTTGATTAAATCCAAATCTGCTATTTCCAGACTAGGAGGACAAAAAAAAGAGAATGGAAAAACCTTACCCAGGTCTATGTCTGCCAAAAGCAGTATGTGATTTAAATAAAGTCAAGCAGACTGTGCAAATGTGAGCACACAGATGCTTAAATATGAATCTACTGAAACCATTAAATATTTATTAGTAAATGTACACAAAAAAAGTGTAATGAGGACGTGTTTGAAGTTTCCAGTGTGTATATGATCACCATGAACTGTGAGTTACCAGGGGCAACATGGCATCATGAGGCAACAAATATGGTATTTCCCATAAAGGGATGTAACAATATCCAGGGAATTGGCACATTCCACTGTGTACCTGAAGGAACAGAGCTATGGGTTGGTTAAAGGAATCTCTCTTAGTTGTGGTGCTGTAATGAAACAGTTACTGCAATGTTGTCTCTTCTCTGTAAGGAAGAGCAAGAAAACCAGCTTATCTGGGGGGTTTTACAATGCCAGTTTGTTGACAGAGGAAACAAATATTTATAGGTTAGACACAGCTGAAGGTGGCAACTTTTGGAACATCTTCCATCAGAGTGCATGTTCCCAGTGGGGAAATACTCATCCCGTTGTGCCAGAGGTAAAAATCGATTTGTTGTAACCGGAGCCAGTGGGTGGCCTGAATTCACTCCTGGTGTGACAATAAATTTATTATGTGATTCTTGTCCCTGATAGAGCCTAATGGAGGGTGAAACAACATATCCAGGGTGTGTGAGGGAAGTAAAGACTGACAAACACATCCCAAAATCCGTGCTTTGGTGCAGACTGGGTTCAGCTGCAGCCACCACAGACGCTGGGAGCTGGACTGCGGTCGGTTTGTGTTCAGCGTTCAGCGCTTGCCACCTTCAGGCTTGATGTGAATCCACAGACGGTGCTGCAGAGGTGGCACCTTAATTCCTTAATCACACGGAGTTTTGGTGCTGCTGCTGTCAGCAAAAATCGGATTTGTTACCCGCTGTGCAACAAGCTCGAGAGAGACACTGGTTATTTATTTCAGAGCTGGGCGCTCGGTGGAATTCCACAAATCCAGCACCACAGCTATTAATACTTTTCACTCTTTATACATTTTGGCAAACAAAGGAATGAGTGTTCATTGGCTGCAAGTTACATAGTTCTCCTGTTAATTAGTACTCTATCTTCTATTGGTTAATGATTCTCACTTCTCACACTAATTATCCTCATGCTCGGTCTCTCTCTTCTCTTGGGTCGGTGGGTTTCTTGGGTCAGTGGTTCCAGACTCCCCCTGCCAGAACTATTTTTTACCCAGCTGGAGCTGATTTCAGCACAGTTGCAGAGTTGCCTTGATTATTCTCTTCCTCTCCTTGGGAGTTTTGCCAGATGTCCCATAAATTCCTCGTTCTTCATGTCCACTATCAGTGGACATCCTTTTTTTCCCGAGCTTTGGTAACCCTGCCCTAGGTCTGAGGTCACTGAAGCATGTCCAGCCCTAAACTTTAACAGGGCAATTCTAATTCTACCAACAAATTTGCAATACAGGACACTAAATACCATTTTTTGCAATGCAACTCCAAAACTTTTACAGTGTCATCTGGGGTGTCATGACGGGCTGCATAAGCTCCAGAGGACTTTTTTTTTTTTTAAAAAAGAGAAATATTACGTGGAATCCACTGAAACCTTTAAATCTTAGCTTTGGAAATGTAAGAACTGTGAAGAACAATTAGTACTGTTAGTGGAAGTGATTAAACAGCAACAGGAAAAATCGCTGCCGTAAGCAGCAGTTGGCACAGATTTCTCGCTTTTCACACAGAAGAGGAAAAACTTTGGTGTGAGGATGAAATCCTCACCTCAGAGCGGCACGATGTGTCTTTTAATCAGGATCGCTCAAACAGGACCTTAATTCGAGGGCTCAAGGGTCAAACCCTGCCAGAAAACAGATGTATTTTCCGAGGTGGGTTGGGACTGGGTGAGCTTTAAGGTCCTTCCAGCCCTCAATATTCTGTGATTTCATGATTATATTTGTGATTTTATTTACGATTTACAACTCTGAGCCGAGGTGAGGTGCTGAGGGGAGGAGGGGGCGGGGCCTGAGGGGGCGTGGCCCGGGCCGCGCACGCGCGATGGGCGCGTAAACAGCGGCGGGTTCCGTGAGGGCTCCGGGGGTCGCTCCAGGTGAAGGGGGTCCCCAGGTGAGGGGGGTCCGGCAGGCGAAGGGGGTCCCCAGGCTCCCCCTGACCCTCCCGGGGCCCCCACCATGGACCTGCCCATCCGCCGCTCCCGCCGCGAGCTGGTGGAGGCCGTGAAGGAGCGGCCCTTCCTCATCGTCACCGGCGAGACGGGCAGCGGCAAGAGCACGCAGCTGCCCAGGTACCTCTACGAGGCAGGTAACGGATCCCCCCCCGCGGGCCGCCGAGGGTGGGGTATGAGCAGGGATAAACGCGGATGGTCTTCCGTGTCCCCTCAGCTTCGGGCCGGGCTGTGCTGAGAGGAGGGTGATTGGACCCTTTAAATAAAAAAAAAAAACCTCTATTGCCATGTGTATGTTGTGTAGGTAGGTGTGTGCGAGCTGACTCGGAGCAGCACAGCTCACGGTGCCGATAACTCCAGGGTCGTGGGTTCGATCCCTGTACGGGACATTGACTTAAGGGTTGGACTCCATGGTCCTTGTGGGTCCTTTCCAACTCAGAATATTCTGTATAACCTCAGTGTCCCAGTTCATCTCAAATCACTGGGGTTCTTTCAAACTGGAGAAGGCTCTGGGGTGACCCTAATGTGGCCTTGCAGTACCTGAGAGGCTCCCAGGGAGCTGGAGGGAGACTGTGGACAAGGGTCTGGAGTGACAGGACAAGGGGAATGGCTTCCCACTGCCAGAGGGCAGGGTTAGATGGGATATTGGGAAGAAATCCTTCCCTGTGAGGGTGGTGAGGCCCTGGCACAGATTGTCCAGAGAAGCTGTGGCTGCCCCATCCCTGGAAGTGTCCAAGGGCAGGTTGGACGGGGCTTGGAGCAAACTGGGCTAGAGGGAGGTGTCCCTGCCCGTGGCAGGGGGGTTGACACGAGATGATCTTTAAGGTCCCTTGCAACCCAAGCCATTGTGTGACTCTGTGCTCTCCCCAGGCCTGGCCAAGCACGGGGCCATCGGTGTCACCCAGCCCCGGCGCGTTGCCACCATGTCGGTGGCGCAGCGGGTGGCCGAGGAGATGGGCTGTGCCTTGGGCACTCTCGTGGGGTACCAGGTCCGCTTCGACGACTGCACCTCCGAGGTAGGGCCCTGGGGGCTCTCATCCTGTGGGAGCAGGGGGGTCAGTGGGCTCTGGCTCAGGGTTTTGCCCCTGGGCCTCTCCATGGGGTGGCACAGCCCCGGTGCTTTCCCAGGAGCTTTGTGTGGGGAAGGTCTCAGAGCCTGCACCAGCACCAGCTGTGGTGGAGCTGCAGCTGCTTGTGTTGTGTAACTCATTTGGTGAAGTTTTTCGCATCATATAAGTTATTTGATGAAGTTTTTTGAACACCTTGCAAGTGAAACGTTGCCGAGCACCTGTGGTGTGGTGCATGATCACCTGTGGTGCAGTCTGAGAGTGTGTCCTGGAAAAGATGTGGTGATCTAAGTGTTTGCTTCACTTTGAGATAATAATCCAGGATAACAGCTGATTGTCTGATTAAACCTTTCAGGACACTGCCATCAGGTATATGACTGATGGCTGCCTGTTGAGGCAAATCCTGACAGACCCTCTCCTCAGCAAGTACAGCATCATCATTTTGGATGAAGCCCATGAGCGCAGCCTCAGCACTGTGAGTGTCACCTTATTTCTCTCCTTTGGGGTCACTGTTTCTCCTTTTCTGTGATCTGCTTGTACCTTCCTTTCACTTCTGCACAATCCCCAGGGATTTTGACTGACTTTTGCTGTCCTAAGACCATAGAACTTTATTACATGCTCAATAATCTGAAAATAAGATGTGACCTGTAGTCCTGTTGCAATTGGCGTAGCTGTTGTTGTGTTTGAAAGCACTCCAGCAGCTCTCCTGGCTGTTGGATGCTCTCCCAAAATTTCCAGGAGTTTGAAGCCGGCACAGTGAACACAAACTTTCTAGAATCTTTATTTTTCCACTCAGTAACAACACCCTGAAGCATCTTTCTTGCTCTAGTTGTTTCTTAGGGTGTGTTCACAACTGTGCAAAGAGATTATGGCTTTTAGGACCATGGAAGTGTCCAGACTGACCTAAGTCCCAAAAGCTCTCAAAAGTCACTCTGACCCTTCTGTGGGCAGCACAGGGACACTCAGGTCACTCAGTCCTCAGGAGATTGTGTTGTGTGTCAGACTATCTGCTGCTCCAGCAAACAACCTGCCAGCCCAGCTGTGGAAAGGGGAAAATGTTCTCTGAATCCCAGTTCTGCCCTCAAGCATCTGAGGGTATGGCACATAAACTGAGTAAAGTGATTTAAGAAGCTACTGCTCCATCACCTGTGTCCATATAAGGAGCAGGTTTTTAATCCAGAGCACCCCAGAGTAAAATAAACTTGCTGAAATCATCAGAATAAGTGGTGAAACAAAGGAGGGCACACACACAGTCAGGTGCTTGACTGAAAAATGGGGTGAAAAATGGGTCTGAGGTGACTGCTGGCAAATGACTTGACCATGAGAGTATAAAACTGAAAAACAAAGGAATTTAAGGTATACTGGTTCTGTGTATGGGCTGTGAGAAGAGCTGATAAAAAGCTAATTAAATTCTAGAAACCAATCAGTGTGCTTACAAAATGACCAGGGTAAAAAATATGTTTTCTTCTGAGTGCTTAGGCCTGGAATATGGGATTTTCACTGGGATAAATCCTGTCCCTTCCAAGTGTTTCAGGCATTTCTAGTAAAGCTGGATTATTAACACCAGTTGCTTCTGTTTTTCTCTCAGGATATTTTATTTGGTTTGCTGAAGAAACTCTTTCTACAGAAGAAACCCCCGGGCAGGAAGACAGAGATGAAGGTGGTGGTGATGTCAGCCACCCTGGAGGTGGACAAGCTCTCTGAGTTCTTTGGACACTGCTCAGTGCTGCACATCCCAGGGAGGAGTTACCCTGTCAAGGAGATATTCTGCAACCTGCTGAGCCCCAGGGACGTGGGCAGCTCTGCCTATGTCACAGAGGTCTGGTGGCTTTGTTTTCTGGGCGTGTTCTCTGGGTTTGGTGTGATTTAATCTGGGACGGACCGCAGGAATCAGCTGCTGTGTTGTGTATCTGAGCATCCCTGCAGGAAATAGGGAAGAATTAATTAGTATGATGAGTTTGAGAAAGGTTGCAGCTGTTATTGACTTGTCTGTTGTTTGTTCCAGGCTGTAAAAGTCACACTGGATGTGCACCTGAATGAACCAGAAGGCGACATCTTGGTTTTCCTGACAGGTGCGAATTTTTCCTTCCACAACCCATGGTTATTCCAGACTATTCCATGGCACTGCCAGCAAAACAGACTGTCTGCTTTGTCCCAGAGCAGTGGTGAAGGGAAAGGTGGGGGTTGATACACACAGTGATAATTTTCAGAGCATTTTAGGAATATCTCTACCCCTGAGGCCAGATAAGAAAATCATTAACTTGAAAATTTGCGTTTTCTCTTCCCTTCTTGTGCCAGATTGACTCTGTGTTGTCTGCATGTTTTATTTTGTTGTTAATTCAGGAAGAGGGAATTACATCAGTGTATAGGCCAGGCCCTCAGGCACTCATCCTTTCAGGAACAGCCTTGGTGAGAGGCACTGTGGAAAGGCTGGATGTCACCTCCTAAACTTAACTCTCATTACACCCTTCTTTTAATGGTGTTGACAGCTCTGTAATATTGACAAACCAATCTTGTTTAAAGATGTTGCAAACTAGGAAGGCAGAGTCGTGACTACTTCAGTGCTCTTCTATGTCTTTTAGGTCAAATTGAGATAGAAAAAGCCTGTGACTTGCTCTTCAAGAAAGCAGAGTCCATTGATTACCGCTACGAGGTGCACGATCAGGCCGTGGAGGGGTTGCTTATCCTACCTCTGTATGGCTCAATGTCAACAGGTAAGAGCTTATAATGTCACAGGGAGCTTAATTCACACAAATGTGAACTGCAAGAGTTGTTACAAACATCCTCATCAAATCTTTCTGAAAAAAAATGCCGTTAATTAACCCATTTGTTACAATACAGTGGCACTCCTGGGTTTTTTGGTGGCGTTCATAAACTAATCAAACTCCTCTGTGCCTGCACTGCAGCCTCCAGTTCAAATTCATATCCACTGGATGTGGCCTCACATGGCATCAGGATCCTCAGCTTAGGGAGGGGATGGTGTGTAACTGAAAGTTCAGATGCCCTCACTCTTTATTTTAGGTGGGAAAAACGTTGCCAGGAGGTTTTTGGTGATGAGAGTGGAGCTGGAAGGGAAGATAGCAGTGCTGCAGTGTCACACAGTGTAGGAAGGTGCAGGTTATCAGAGGGAGGCACCCTGTTTTATTTGGCAGCAGTACCACAGTTAGTTCCAAAGAGTTAAAACCAGAACCCTCTTGGCCTTTGCTGAGCACAGACACTGTATTTTCAGATGAATTTGAGGGCAGTGTTTGAACGTGTGGGTGCAGTTTGGAGGCTGCCAAGGGGCTGAGTGAGTGTTCAGAAGAGCAGGACAGCAATTTCTCCCTAAAAGTGCTGCTGAGAGGGAAGATCTTGTAAAGATCTACAGAGGGAGCAAGACTGATGTTTTGGAAAGAGCAAAGTTGCATAAAACAAAAACTTTCTTCTTTATTCCATGAAATTGATTCCTGACTGAGAGGGATATTTTATTTTATTTTTATTTTGTGGTAGTTTCTCTGAGGACATTGTATTTGAATATGTCTAAATACTCATTAAAAAATCTTTCTTAAAGAGATCTTTATATTTTTCAAAAACAATAAGTGAGAAAATTTCAGGGGAAAGTTGAATTTCCATCTCTTTTTTTTGTTCCTTGGAAAGCCAAATGAATGGATGGGAGCTGCATATGCTGCTTTGGTACATGTTAAATGAAGATTTGCTGGAAACATGGGGGAGTTAATTCATTTTTTTTAATGCTCACATTCATTTGCTCTGGTGGTTCAAACCCTTCAAATCCTTCATGAAGATTCTGTTCAGACAAGACATCTTGTTTGTTTTCCTGGTTAGGAAACAGCCAGGAGACTTGGCCTTTTTCCAAATCTGGAATATTTGAGCAATAAAGGAGATATTATCTGATTTCTGGCATTTGCTAAAATAATCTATTTGCTACCATCTCTATATTTTAGGATGTTGTGTGATTCACTTTCTAATGTCATTCAAGTGACTTTCACTCAGCATTTGATTGAATTTGGTGGAAATCAGTGCTGTAACATAAACTGACTGACTCCCTGTCATTTCAGATCAACAGAAAAGGATATTTTTGCCAGCTCCTACGGGCATTAGAAAATGTGTGGTGTCCACAAACATTGCTGCAACATCTCTGACCATCGAGGGAGTCAGGTATTGTTTTGTGTCCTTCAGAAAAGCTGTGGCAGAGGGGATAATTCAGGAATTTCTGACTTCCTTCCATTTCTGTACCTGCCCTGTTGCCTTTTTCGTGTGTGTGGTGAGAAAACCCTTAATACCATTATATAGTCTGATGGTTTTGGACCCTAATTTGAAATCAAATCTTGGCTTCACTGAGTAACCCTGTGGTACCTGAGAGCTCTGTCCTTTCCCTCTCTGAATCTTTTTGCTCAGGTACGTCGTAGACAGCGGGTTTGTGAAGCAGCTGAATCACAACCCCCGAGTTGGCTTGGACATACTGGAGGTGGTTCCCATTTCAAAGTAAGTTTTTAAACATGCCCTGGTGTTCCTGGGAGTTGCTGTGACAACACCATGTATTGGTGGATCTTTAAAAAAAAATAAATAAATAAAAAGATGAGGAGCAGCCCTGAGGTTCTGTGATTTAAAGCCGTTTGGTTTGTTGCTACGTAGGAAGTGGTTCAGGATATATAATTTTCTATAAGCTTCAGACATTAAGAAGGAACTGACAGTGCATTGTCTGCAGCCTAAACAGGGGGCTCACATGTCCTCTTGTGTTTGAATACAACAACCTGATTCAGAGAAGCTTAAAAAAAATCTTCCGTGCACAGAAACGCTGCTCCCACCCGTCCTCGTCCAGCTGGAATTCTCAGCTGCTGCACAGTAAAATACCTTCTGCCTGCAAGCACAGAAATTGCTGTTATTTGTCATAATCACCCCGTGGGTAATAATAGAAGGGATTAAGAGTTTGGATGTTGGTTTTTCTGGAAGGAGCGAGGCGAAGCAGCGAGCTGGCCGAGCCGGCAGGACCTCGGCCGGGAAGAGCTACCGGCTGTACAGCAGGGAGTTCTGGGAGCAGTGCATGCCCGACCACACCGTCCCAGAGATCAGGAGGACCAGCCTGACATCTGTCATCCTGACCTTGAAGTGCCTCTCCGTGCATGATGTCATCAGGTGACCTCTGGGCAGGGGATTATCCCTGTCTCCCCGAGTCTGGGCAGCGCCAGCACCCGGAGCCTGTTGGCAGGAGGCAGGATTAGGTTCCCCAGCCAACTGTGACACTTCAATTCAATCAGCTTTTCTGCTGTTCTCCCCAGCCTGTAATTCCAGGTTGGATCTTGAGCTGAAGTTTGGGGTTCTGCCAAAACTGGCTCGCTCCAAGATTCAATATATAGTTTGTAGCATTCCTTTAAAATATTTATGTTTATGCCCCAAAGGCTTCATCTCTGTGGAATGGTTTAATTTTAAGATCATACAAGTGCAGGAAATACAGTTGAGCTTTGTGTGTGCCGTGCTGGGATTTGTCATCAATCAGAATTCCCCAGCTTGAGGCAGAACATGCAGTAACACACCCTTATGCTGCAGGTGATTATGTGCACTTTGGTCAAAAACCTGTATTGGGAGGTGAAAGAAGTATTCTAATAAATATGAAAACTAACAAAGCTATTCTGGGTCTGAACAGATATTTTTTTTTACTTCATTTTTTACTACAGGTTTCCCCATTTGGACCCCCCTGAAGAAAGACATATTTTAGAAGCTCTCAAGGAACTTTACCAGTGCAGTGCTATTGACAGGTAAAAAATAAAGGGGTGCAGTCACTACAGGAATTTAATGGTTTAACTGGTGTCAGTGTTTGTGTGGACTAAAGGACTTCCTCAGCAGTAGAATGTTTCCTCATTTAGCTTCCAGGAAGTTACTACTGGGGTTTAATATAGGCTGTAAAATCAGAGTTAGAGCTGGGATTGAGAGATACAGATCAATTTGTCCACATTGTCCTGGAGTTCCTGAGTGACCTCAGACAAATTACCTCAACCCAGTGCTGGAGCTCCTGATGGCAGATCCCAGACTGTTGTGATGGAGGAATTTGGGCTTTAGCTGTGAGGTCCATCCAAGAACTCAAGGCAGGAAGCAAGATCTTATCCTGAGCTTCCAGGAATTCTTCTTGCAAGTTAAATAAAAGCTGGCTGTGCCTGGCATGGAGCAGGCACAGGCAAACTGGGGACACTTCTTCATGTCTCCAGCACCTGTCTGGGCACACACATCCAGAGGGAAATGCTTATTCCATGCCCTTAATCAGGATGTGGTGGCTGACTTAGGTGTGCATGCTCCCATTTACATTGAAACATGAATCTGGTCTTTCTGTCTTTTTTCCTGGGATAAGGAGAGGCCATGTGACAAGACTGGGAGAATTCCTGGTGCAGTTTCCCCTCCCTCCCAACCTGAGCTGTGCTGTCATAAAAGCTGCTTCCCTGGACTGTGAGGATCTCCTGCTCCCCATTGCAGCCATGCTGTCCGTGGAAAACGTCTTCATCCGGCCAGGTAGGAAGCCCCTTATCCCAAAGCAGCCCCATATGTTTTCAAAGCTTTCCATGAGCTTGGAGTCAGGGCACATTGCATGCCAGGAATTGGACAACAGCTGTTCCAAAGACTCCAGACCAGCGTGGAATTGGGTTGCTTTTGTCCCAAGGCTGTGAGCTGGGAAGCAGCGTTTGCGTAAGCAGGAGGATGCTGAGAGGTCATGAGGGGGAAACTGTGTTACAGGAGGGAAAAGAGTAAAAAAACACCCCCAGAAAAGCAAAATGCACCACAGCAGATGTTTTGCTGTTGGTCTGAGTACAGACAACAGGGACTGATTAATTTGTTTTTAATGAACAGGGTCACCTCTGGATTATCTTTCCTGTCAATAACTCTGTTTAACCAAACAGACCTTCTAAGTTCCTGTGAGAAGCTCAGCTTGTCACTGCCTCATTTCCAGTGTTTTTCTAAATGGAAAATACAGTTTTGCTGTGGTTCCAGAGTAGCACTTTTCATAGTGCTAAACCCAGTCTCTCCCATCGTCCTTCCCATCTCCTTTCCCCTCCTGTCTGTCCCCCTTCGTGCTCCATATATTTGTATATGTCCTGTCTTTGTGGGAGACCTTTGTCCTTCCCAGTCATTTTCTGGCTCTTGTCCAGTTATCCCTGTAGTCCATTAACTGTCCCTGTTAACACAACAGCCCCAGACACTGCTGACACCACTGATAACCTGGAATCTGCTCCGGGGTCCTTCCCATTCCCACAACTGTCCCCGTGCTTTCCCATCCTCCCTCTGGCAACGTGCCCTTGTTCTCTGATGTGCATTTGTAACTCTTCAGCAACCCTGAACACTGGGAAGAACGTGGAACTCCAACCCTGGAGGCACCTCAGGATGTGTAGGATCAGGCCTCCTTCATCCATGGTACCTTTAATACCCACAAACTTCTGCCATCCTCTACAACAGCAGCACTGCAAAAAGTCTCGTGTCTCCCTCTCCTGAGGGGGAAAGGTTGTGCTGGAGAAGAAATTCTTGGGGTGTTCAAACCTTGAAATAACACTTTGGAAGTGTTGCTTTTGCCCAGCACATTCCTAGCACTTAGTGAAGGTGGATTCCCACTAAACTCACAGATGCACATGTTTTTCTAGACTCTTATTTAAGACATCCACTACTGTGGCCCTGGGACAAAAGCTGAGTTAAATAGATTAGATGGGGTGGTTTCAACAGTCTTGTTTTTTCTCTCTCAGGGCAAAACTTCCACTTGATCCTCGGGAGCTGTTTGTTTAAGGTCCCTGTTCCTTTATCTTTCCATGTCACCATCTGAGCTGATTGTGAGAGAGAAATATGTAGAACCTTTCCAAGAGAGCAGAATTCTTCATCTCTGTTTGCTGACTGATGAGATTAATGACAGATTTAATAGCATCTACGTGCTCTTGTTCAGCAGGAATGGAAGGAGGAAGAGCTGTAAATGCAGCTGTGGAGGAGAGACAAATCTAAAAATAACATGAATAAAGAGCCCAGGCTGCCAAACACACTTTGGAGAGATGCTAACAGGACATTAGGGAGTGCTACCTAAAAATGACTTTAAGTGAGATATAACTTACTTCCTCAGGTGATCCTCAGAAGCAAAAGGAGGCTGAGCTTCAACACCAGGAACTTTCCTCACAAGTGGGAGGATGCAATGACTTTGCAACCCTCTTAAATATTTTTGAACAGTGCAAAGCAAGGTATAAAATGATCCCTTACAGTAAGTGGTTTTGCATTGCTCATAACTCCCAGGTGCTGCCAGTCTTTAGATGTGCTGCATATACACGTGTGTCCTCGTGCCTGATTGCAGATTTATTCCTTCTTTGAGCTGTAATTTCTGTCATTATTTAAGCCAGCAAAGTATCTGCTGTGTAGGTTGTTGCCTTTGTGTGACCATAACGAAAAATAGAGGCAAGTTTCTGCCTTCAGCTTCCAAAGGGCTTCTTTATAACACAAGTATTTCTGTTCTCAGCAAGTCTCCCTCAGCCTGGTGCCAGAGACACTGGATCCATTGGAGGGCTTTAAAATCTGCTTTTAGCGTGGAAAAACAGCTCCGGGAAATCACCAGTAAACTGAAAGAGGTAAAAAAAATGTAATTTCTAGTTATGTTTGAATTATGTAAGTTTATGTACTGGACTGCTGAGCCTTTGCCAGATGGCTGCTGCCTTCCTCCTGTAGAAACTAATCCACTTAAAATATTTTTTTAAAGCATCCTTGCTTGTGTAACTAACAGGTATGATGGTGGGAACAGGCAAGAAGGAGAGTTTTTCCCCTTTCCTCGTGGTTTCCGTACAGTGAGAAGCCCAGAGTTTAAAATCCATGATGTAGAGGGGGTGTAACTGGTTTTTCTTTAGGAAAGATCCTGATTTGTGTTGTTTTTCCTTTACACAGCTGCCAGACTTCCCCAAAGAGACATTTGAAGGCTCCAGAACTGAAATACTGAGGAGGTGCCTGTGTGCAGGATACTTCATCAATGTAGCTCGGAGGTGAGGAAAGGAGTTTGGAGAATGGGATGGGAAAGGTGTCACACATATTATTTATATATATTTATATACAGAGGGCTGTGTGTTGGGAAAAGGAGTAACTGCAGCTGCAGGAGGTGTTTCTGTGCAGGGCTGGAAGCTTTGTAGGGTCTCTGCTTTTGACTGTCATTACTATTCCAAGGATGCAAGAAACTTCCCCAGAAATGTCATTTTTCTCTCTGTGGGATGAACTCCCAAGCTGATGGGTAGTTCCAGATGTTAAACTAAAGGGCTTGGAAATTTCCAGTAATCATGGCTGTCAAAGGCTCCACTCCCAAACCCTGTCCTTATTGTGTTGCTATATCTGCAGTGCTACTGTGGTAAATCAGATATATTTTATCCTCTTTGGGGTTTCTTTTATCGTTTAATTCTGGAATCCCCTTTCTCTCCTTAAATATTTGACTTTCTCTATTTAGATATTTGACTTTTGACTTTCTCTACGTAGGTATTTGAGTATTTTTCCTATGCTGCAGCTGATTAGTTTAGTTCAGTCTTGCTGTCGGTGTTGCTGTCTGATCACAGCAAAGTGTGTTTCGTTATTTGTTTGTTTATTTATTTTTCCCCAACCCTTTCAGATCTGCAGCCAGGACATTCTGCACAATGGACGGACATGGCAGCATTGTCTACATCCACCCCTCATCCACAGTGAGTTTCCAAAGTCTGTTGGTAAAGCAGCAAAGGATCTGTAACAGGAATAAGAGGCAGGTCCCACAAACTCTTCCTGGTGCTTGGTCTGGTGCAGTGTTCATTTGGAAGAGCCTGTTCAAAAATCTCTTCAAAGAACTTCTTCAAAGTTGGTGAATGTATGAGTGTAACACAGACTGAACTTTCTCTCTGGGCAGTTTTAAGCAAGTCATTCCACCTTAATTTCCCTGAAAATTAAGGATAACGTCCCCTTGCATCTGAAACATTGAAAAACGCTCCAGCGAAGGGGGCTCTGGAAGTAAAAAAATCTTTTCAATCAGCTCAGAAATAACCTTTTTTAACTCATTTTCCAGCTGTACAACCAGGAGACTCTGCTGGAGTGGATCATCTTCCACGATGTCACCGTGACGTCCAAGATCTACGTGCGGACGGTGTGTCCCGTGCGCTACGAGTGGGTCAAGGACCTGCTGCCCAGGCTGCACCAGATCGATGCCTATGAGCTGAGCAGTGTGGCCAGGGAGGAGGTGACAGAGGAGGAAATAACCAGGTGGAAGCACAGGGAGGACCTGAAGAGGCAGTTTGGTGAGCACAGGGAGTCCGTGTCTATGGTTGTGTGGGCTCCTGTTATGTCACTGGATTCATTCTGGCCTGGAATGAATTTTTTCATGTTTACACGGTTGATATGTGTGGTTCTGGCTGTTCTCTCTTCTCTGCAATCCTTATTTTCTGTCTCTGCAGTGTGAATAGTGGTGTTTCCTTACTGGCTCTTGCCCTTCTTCTGGCTTCCTAGAGCTCACAGGAGCAAAACTTTTTAACACAGACCTGACTAAAAGCATTTTGAATCTGATTATTTTGAGTTATTATCTGATTATTTAAGTTTATAAAGGCTTATTTGAGATTAATATTGACCTAACAGATGTTGTATTTCTGGGAGCTTCATAAAAATAGGTGGCTGAATAGCTGAGAAAGGCTTAATAAGTAGAAGGAAAGGCTGCAGCATGAGCTGAATTATTATTTGACTGCAAGACGGAATAATTACAAATATTCTAATGGAATAGAATAGAAATATTCCAATAATTACAAATAATCTAATAAAGGGTTTCTAACCATAGATACCCAAATAAGACTGTCCTGAGAGAGAGAAATCCTAAGGGGTTATGGAGAAGAGGGGAGGGAAAAAAATCAACCCAAAAAACCCTCACCCAACAAAAAACATGAAGGAAAAAGCATCACATTTTGGTGAATGTCTCCTTCTGACAGTGAGTTTAATGCCATATGTTTCAATAGTTTTAATTAAGACTGGTGCCTGCTGACTGATCTGCTGCTTGACATTCTCTGAATTCTTCTGTCAGCAGGTCCCTAAAGCAGCCAAGTATTCCAAGGGCCTCTTTCCTCCCGAGCTGACCCTTCCAAAACATCCACTTTAATGTACAGCACAGGCACTGGCAATATTGATTCTCTTCCATTTCCTTCAAATGGAGACTGCTGGGCTCAGGGAGTGTGTATTGTTGTATAAACCCACCATTTTAAATGATAAAAATGTGGATTTCATGTGGTTATAAATAGGATAGGAAAGGATATTTGCATTATTAGGTAATGCAGAGGAGCACCATCCAGCTGAATGAATCCAAGGAGCTGAGGTTTGTTCTCTGTGTGACTTCACCAGGCCATTGTCAATTCATTTGAGATTAATATTGACCTAACAGATGTATTTCTGGGAGCTTCATAAAAAGAGGTGGCTGAATAGCTGAGAAAGGCTTAATTAGTAGAAGGAAAGGCTGCAGCTGAATTATTATTTGACTGCAAGGCAGAATAATTACAAATATTCCAATAATTACAAATAATCTAATGTCGATTAAAGCCCCAGGGACAGGCTGCAGTAGCTGCTTCATTCACACAGTTTTTTGGCTCTCAGAGTCTTTGATTAATTTTTTATTTTTGTTATTTTAAACTGAAAATATTTCTTGCTTTTCTTGCCTCCTGGGAGAAGCCCTGCCAAGGTCTCAGTGCTGGGGGAGAACCTGCATTCCTGATGGTGTCTGACCCAATATTGACTTGTTCCACTCCTTTATCTCCTTGTTGTCCAATCCCTTCCCCCTCCCTCTGGAAATTTTTTAAGAGATAGTTTATTCTAAGCTTATTTCCTGTCCCTCTCCTGCCTAAACCTGAGTTGGAGATGTGTCATTTAGAGAGGAAATGGGTGCATAGGACACGAGATGCACGTTCTGTGTTCCAATAAAACCCAAGGTACACGCTGGGGATGAGAAGAGCCCAGCTGCAAATATTGACATGGGACTTCAGGCAGGATTTTAGTTTTCATTTTTTTCCCCTCCCTGCTGTGGTACAGTCTGTCCTCTCTGGAAGTCATTCAAATGCCTGCCTGGGACTTGAAATTAAAAAAAAAAAGAGATTCTGTTGGGTGTTTTTGGGGCTATTTTACCAATAGGAGGAATTGTAGTGCTGGGGGGATGACACAAAAGAGTATATTTTTTTTTCTCTCCTCTCTTCCCCCAGAAGGAGCCACAGACAACTCTGCCAAGAAGATGGAGAGAAGGAATGATGAGCAGTCCATCCTGGATGCCAGAGCCCGTTACCTGGAGAGGAAGCAGCAAAGAGCACAGGGTTTAGGTGGCCCAGTGAAAGAAACGGGGTGATTCTGGTTGCAGCTCCACTCCCACGTGAGGGAGGGCGGTTTATGCAGCTCTGGGGATGTTTGCACGATGCAAAATGACTCAGAGGAATGGAGGGAAACTTCTGCTTTGTGGTTATTGGAGTGCAGAAGAGTAAAACACAACCTTCCTTTGCTGCATCCAGCAGGGAAAAGTGACCAAGCTGAATTTTGTTGCTGCGTGTCACTGGCAGCAGTTTACTGGCTGGAAGGCTGTGGTGCCAATTCTGCGGCATTTAATTGACTCAGAAAGGTCTCAGTGCCAATAAAAATAAAATTTTCTTAAAGATTGGCTGTTTTTTTGATTTTTTTAAAGGAGTGGAACTGTAAGTTTTTATCCATTTCACTCAGCATGATGGTTGTACAGTCTCAGTGCTCATCCACTCCTCGGTGAAATGTGTAGGAAGGGCTCTTTTGATGATGGAACCATCAGGATTAAATCCAGAAGGACACTTGCCCCCTGCATTCCCTGCTGCACCACATACAGGGATGGCTCTGGGTGAAGATGTCTTTGTGTGCCAAGTGTTTTGGCAATGTTTCCACATTCCTGCTAACAATGCATAATTTTTGTCAGGGATGACTTAGCACTGTGTGTTTTCCTGCTGGCAGAGGAACCCACCCCAGCAGTGGCTCCCTTATCCCCCAGGGCGGGCAGCAGGGCTGCTCCTAATGGGCTGTTTGTCTGGATTTGGGGACTGTTATTTTTAAAAGATACGGATTTCGATCTCAAGAATGACGGTTTCAAATGTGTGGGAAGAACACACGAGGAAATACAAGCTTTTGTCCTTAAGCTGTGATGCTTTGTCATCATAAAATTTGTCTCCTTCTCAGTAAAGAAATAATCCTGTTTTATCACCTCAACAATCCTAAAATGTTCCACTGTGGAGCTTGTACAAGACAATTTCCAAATAACTGGAGGAACGTGCTGTCATTTTTTTCCCACCTCTGTGTGTCACCTTCTTGCTTTCCGGGTCACTTGTTAAAAGGGATGTTGTAAAATATTCACCATTCCCCCTCTGCTCCACCTTGAGCGTTCCAGGCTGATCAAAAGCTCTCAGAAACCTTGGGATTCTTTGTGGGAAATATAATATTCCCCATAAAAAAAGTGGTAGATCTGATAATTGTTCCTCTTTTCTGTGATTGTGCCCATTAAAAGGGAAGAGATGGAGAAAGATGGGGAGGGACTTTGGACAAGAGCCTGGAGTGACAGGGCAAGGGGAATGGCTTCAAACTGACAGAGAGGAGGTTTAGGTTGGATATTGGAGAAAAATTCTTCCCTGGGAGGGTTTTTTTTCACTCTGGTGCTCAGGCTCTGCTTTGGAGCAGCAGCACTTTTCCTTGACTCGACCTGTTTTGCTGTTTAATTTGATTCATGATATATTTGCAAGTCATGGTCACTCCTGAGTCAAAGGACATCTGCCCCACACGCTGGGTCTGAAATGAGCAGCTGGAATGGCCACTCTTCCTTGGGGCTGGAAATATCTTGGCAGATCCTGCTGTTTTCTGGTTCCTTTTATTGTTTTCACTCTCTTAGTAGCAAAAAGGAAGGGATTTTTGTTTTCCCCCTTGTGTTCCAGGGCTGCTCAGAGAGTTGGAAATGGGGAATTTAAGACAAATTATGTGAGGAAATAACCATGAGATTGCAAAATAAGGTGTAAGGAGCAGAGCACTTGGAATGCTGCATCATCACAGAGAAACAGCTAAAACTTAACTCTTTTTGTGTGCTGGAGGTAAATTGTGAGTTAATAAACACGGGAGGAAAGTGGGAGTTTGATTGTGTTCCTGCACTCATTAACAGTGGGCCGTGGGAACAGTCCCGGGGACCATCCCCGGGGTTTATGGATGGACAGGGACAGTGGGGACACCCTGGGGGGGGAGAACATCATATCCCGGTGCCAGGCACACCCCAGTCCCTTGGTGTGTCCCCCGGAGGGTGGATCCATCACATCCCAGTCACAGGGACACCGCTGTCCCTTCGGTGTCTCCCCAGGAGAATGGGATCTCTCCCATCCCTGTGACAGGGACACCCCCGATCCCTCGGTGTCCCCCAGGGGGGGTGGATCCATCACGTCCGGGTGACAGGGACACCCAGGGGAGGGCGGGATCCATCACATCCCGGTGACAGGGATATCCTAGGGGGGAATCCATGGACACCCCTGGTGACAGGGACACCCTGAGACGGGGGATCCAAGGACACCCTCGGGTTGGGGGTTCATCCCAGGGACAGGCCGGGTGACAGGGACACCCCACGCGGGGGTGGATCCATCACATCCCGGTGACAGGGGCACCCCGAGGGGGGTGGGATTTATCGCATCCCAGTGTCAGGAGCACCCCGGAGGGGGGGTATCCAGGGACACCGCCGGTGACAGGGACACCCCGGGGGGGAGTACCCATGTCCCCCCTCCCCGGTGTCAGGGACACCCCGGGGGGTTATCCAGTGACCGGTGTCCCCCCGGTGTCACCTTGTCCCGGCCGCGCCGCGCGGCCACGTGACCCGGCGCGGGGCGGCGCGCGCGGGGCGGAAGTGACGCCGCCGGCCCCTCGGTCGCATGATGTGGCAAAAAAAAAAAGGCCGGGAAGGAGCGCTGAGTGATGCGTCCCCAAATAGTCCCTTCCGGCGGCGCATCACCCCGCCCGCCCCACTGGCGCCGCGCGCCGGCGGATCCCTCCGCGCGCCCCCGGCGCGGCTGAGGCGGCTCGGGCGGGCGGCAGGTGCGCGTATCCTTCCGCCGTGGTATCCTTCCGCCGGCGGGGGCAGCCCTTCCGCACGGCCCCGCTCCGCCATCGCGGCCCCGCAGCGCCCGCAGCGCCGAGCCCGGCCCGGCACGGAGCCCCCGCCGCCACCATGGCACAGATCCTGCCCATCCGCTTCCAGGAGCACCTCCAGGTGGGCGCCGGCGCGGCCGCGCTGTTCTGTCCCCGCCGTGCCGAGAGGACGTACCCGGGCCCGCCCGCGGTGCCGCCGTGAGGGCTGGGGGGGAGCGCGGGGTGTTGGTGTCTGGGAGGGAAGCGCTGCCCGAAGGGCACCTTCCTGAGCGGCCGGGCCTGGCCTGCCGCCCTTGCCGGCGCCCCCCCGGGCTGGGCGAGGCCGGGATGGGACGGGGAGCGCGGGTGGTTCCGCGGCGTGAGGGGAAATCCCGCCCCGGCCCCGGGTCTGCGAGGGACGGGGGGGAGCCGGGCAGGGCTGGGCTGCCTCCCTGCGCCGCTTCATTCTAGATGTATTAATAATCTTAACACCTATCGTTGTGAGGGCGTAGTAAGTGGTTCTCCCGGTGCTGTCTGGGTGTAATGTCACGTCCCGGAAGGGGAGCTGCAGTGAGTGCGGGAGCTGCCGCGGCTCCCGCAGTGCAGCGGGGGCAGTGCAGGTGCCCAGGTGCCCTCTCTCAAATCCAGGCTCTCGCCGCACCGCCACCACCGCGGTTATTTCCTTTCGCTTCCCTGACACGGCTCCCCGAAGGCAGCGGTAACACGTCCTAGATGTGCAGGAACTCAGGGCTGCCTTCCCGAGGAACGCACCTCCCGCGTCCGTGGGTGCAGCCGGAGCGCAGGGAGGGGTCTGGAGGTGCAGGTCCGGTTGTGCAATGGGCACTTCCCCTCTGGCAGGTCTGTGGGGCGAAGTACTGCGAGCCGCGGTTCCCCTGGCTGGGGCCGTGGTGTTCATTAAGCTCGGTTTCGCTGCTGGGGAGGGTTTTTTGTGTAATAAAAGCTGCATTGACACACCTGGCTTCTGTACCTCTTCTGCCCCATGGTTCCAGTATCTGTGTTTAGTTTGTGTTTGTGTAACTGGGCACTGATATACTGATGGATTTCCATAATTGATAGTGACTTCTTTTCCTGACTCAAACAGAAAAATTTCAGTTCCTAGGCACCTTGCAAAATACTTATTTTGTGGTGTAAATTACCACTATCCATAGGGTTTAAAAAAATGGTGCCATGATTACTTTCTGTCTGAGTGGGTAACTTTTGAGTGTTGAGGAATTTTCCTTCAATATCAGGTGAGGAATTTTCCTTCAATATCAGTGGAAAAGCAGGCCAGAATTCCTAGCTGAGGTGTGCCTGCACTCCTTAGTGAGCAGCACTGACAGGGGAATCCCAGGAGCTGCCCAGAGCTTTGTCTCTGAGCAGTGCCTTGTCCTGGTGGTGGCACAGCCCAGACCCAGGTGCTGAGAAGGTTCTGTGTCCTCAGGTGAAACTCATCCCTCTGTGTGCCCAGCTCCTGCTAAAGCATTGTGGAAATGCACCTCTGATATATTATTTAAGCCCCAAACCTTGCATGTGACCCACTGCCAGGTCTCTAATGACATGAGTCCTGTTACATAATGAAACTCATCTGCCTCATGCCAGGAGTGCTGGGAGGGTTCAGGCCAGTACTGCTGTGGAACAGGACTGTTCTGCCCAAAGTCTGATTTATATGTTTAGTTGTGTTTTAATTTGCATTTTCTCTCCCTGCCCCTCTTCACTGGTTGAACCAGTACCTTTTGTAGCTGCACACTGAGCTGATCTCTCCTCAGGTGGGGTGTCCAGCCCTCTCAGCCTGGCTGCACTTGGCTCTTGCCCAGTTTGCTGCTCCTACTGAACTTCCTCATTTTATTTCATTGAGAAATTTTCAGGGGAATTTGAATTCTTGGAGTTCCTGTTTTTCTGATGAAGCTTCTGCTGTAAATTTGGAGAGCAGAAACGCTGCTGTTGCAGTGGTTTTGTTTGAGTGTATTCCAGGCTGCTCCTAGGAAATCCTCATGGGCTCAATAGTACAATTTCTTGAACTGTGCCTGACCTACATTGTCTAGGAAACTTGTCTTACAGGTGTTGGGCAACACTTGCAAGTTTGTAGCTGATGCTTTAGTGCAAGGCAAGGCACCCACCCAGAGCCTTATTCATGAAAGGCAGGTGGTGAATGTGAATGAGAAAGATTTTGCAGGCTCTTATTGAAATCTGATCTTGGCTGGTGATTTGGGAATGAAGAGTAAAGGCTCCAGGAGCCCTGAATGCCTTGGGGGCACAGGACAGTGCTTTGTACCCCAAATTGGAGCTGAAGATCTACTTTGGGCAAGAAGTTGGCTTAGCAGGGCCAAGTGAGCTTTCTGGGGAGTCTGAAACCAAAACGTGTTCTCAGGCTTCAGGTTTTGTTTGTTTGAGTCCCATCACATGCTCTGCAATCTCAGCTGTCCCAAATCTGTAGGTTTTATCTGTGTGGTGTCTACCGTACATCCCTGCCTGGCCTCAAAACAACATGTTGTGAGAAACTTCCCTTGGGAGTTTTCAAGGAGAAACCTGGTTCCTGTGCTATCAA